CAAGATGTGCCCTAATCAAGCTGACTGGGTTTAGACCGGGGCGTTGAGCTAACCAGATATTCACGTTAAGAAGGGTGTTGACCCTTCAATTATTCAATCCACCGTTTCATCGACTTTGCGGCTGTCTTCGATTCGATTCGATTGATAGAACGGCACTTTGGAGGGTGATGGAACGTGAAGGTGTTTCAGAGAAGATCATTCGACTCATAAAGGCATTTTATGTCGGCGCAGGTCTATGGGAGACTGAAAAACTCCTTCGAAGTAAAAACTGGTGTCCTTCATGGTTGCATTTCCCTATAATATTTAACTATGCGATAGGATGGATAATGCGCATCGCTTGTAGGCATTTAAAAGGCGCATAAATCCGTCGGGAGCATCGTATCATTGAATACACTGATGATTTAGTCCTTTTTGTTGATAGTTATGCAAATAACGAAATGCAAATAGCGTGCCAGCTGGAGCGAGAATTGGGATATATCAATGCAAATAAAAACGAAAATCTTTTCGTCTTATATGCAAGAAGCTGATAAAAGCCTCTTTTTATATATTCTTTGCCGCTTAAGGAAATGCCCGATTTTAAATACCTTGGATCCACTAATAACAAATGGCCAGGCAAAAGACGAAATTACAACACGGATAACAGCAAAGTTCTTCCGAAGATTGACGAAGCCTTTCTGGAGCCGTCGTGAAATCAAAATAAACGAAAGTTCGCGTCTATTTAGTCACGATTCCTTCCATCTTGCTGTACGACTGTGAGACATGGTCAATGAGAATGGATGATATTAAGAAGCTATCTACGCTTTTGTCTGAGATATATTTTAGGGAGTCCATCGAGCTGATAAAATCGCATATGATTGAATCCATCTTCGCTCAGTTACCACCTGTATTAATAATATTATCACAGAGCGTCGCCTTCGTTGGTTTATCCATGTTCTCTGTTATCCACCACAGGTGTTGACATGTATTTCTTTACTTGCTAAATGCTGTGGTGGTCAAAAAAGAGGTGAGCCAATCAAGATCTGGACTGGTATGGTCAAAAAAAATTTTGAATGTATAGGCGTACCAGCAGTATACTGACCTGGACGATGGGAAAAGATGTGGTTTCTATTACTGTCGACGATGGCATCAGATCTTGCGACTTAGAAACGTTTTACCTTTCGAGTGGAACCAGCCTAACTAGTAATGGTGAGAGCTTTTAGAAAAAAAGAAGGTATGTACGAAAGACAAAAAATCGTTGTCGATAACCAGAATTTTGCTGCAGTTCTCGATAGGATGCTGTCATATACCTTCATAGCAACCAGCAAAAATCAGTTTATTCAAGACCTATATCTATATATGCTCCGAGTTGACATAAGCATCTTTTGGATGCATGTAAGCGATGCCAATGATCATAACATCAACTCTATCGCATGATTGAATACAATAAGGGAAAGATGTACCCAGTTTTATTTCAAAACGGTGTTTTCGTGCCAGACTTCCGTTGAGAAAATGCCCTAATAAGTTGGACATTTATCTCTGAGACACCTTTCAGAGCACGGTTCTATTGAATAGAATTTTTTTTTAAGAATCCTCACCATTACTAGTTAAACTCGTTTCACTGGCTTATCACATTGGGCAATATGCCAGGGAGTTCCTTGGCGATAGAAACATAGGTGAGTCGCCATCATTACCCGGATTTTTGTACAGATTTTTGTACTTACTCCTGCGAGGAATCAAACTCAGTATCGGTGGTCCCAATCGAGCAACAACCCATTGAGCCATTCTATCCCCACTGAATAGAATATAGCGACAAAATTAATAAACACTAGATGTATGGCAGTAGGTTGCCAATATTTGTTGCAAAATTTCACTTCCTTCTTAGCAAATATTTGTTTATTTGTGTTCTGAATCCAAGCTAATGTTTCCCTGGAATTTTTACTCCAATGAACCTAGTCAGCAGATAAGGTGGGATTTTCCCAGAGAGGCTTAATAGATTGATTCTTCAGTGGTTATATATTTGAGATATGATCGCTTTTAAGTTCTTTTTCACATATGAATCTAAATACAGTATATTCTTGGAGGATCAATCTCAAAGGTTGCTGCATAGTATTTCAAATCACCAGAAGTCTGAAAATTATTTCTTATTCCATTAACTATCAGTTGCAATTATATGGATCGAAAAGTTGCCTGGGATGATAAATGGTGCTCCTGCTTAAATTGTATCAAAAGAGCGTTTCGTTTCCATCACACAAATTCTTATTTCGAAGGATTCTCTCGATTCTCCCAATTCCCCATATATACAGACTTGTGCTGATGTATGCTGATAAAATGCCTTCATGAGTCGAATGATCTCTAGAACACTGTGATATTCCACCACCTTCCAAAGAGCTGTTCTATCAAATCGAAAGCAGCTGCAAAGTGAATAAAACGGTGGGTTGCAGATATTTAAAGGCATTTGATTCATTGTTTCAAATCATTCAGTGGTCATCTCCCATTTATGGTTAGTTTACGAGGAAAAGAGATAAACTCGAGCAGCCTTGTCAATGTGCGTGACTATATCGCTTTTTCTGCTATTATTGCTTTTTCCAAGAGTGTGTTAGTTAGGATTGTTGCTTCTAGTGATTTTTTGAAAGTTGGATCGTTTCTTCCGTTAGCCAACTAGAACAACATCGGTTTTCATCACCGATCAACACTCATAGTTGTTCCACAGATATGTTTAGAAATGTGATGATAATTATACTTTAAACATACTTTAAATATACTTTTTGTCGCTGAATTTTCTCTCTCTTTGTTCACCTTCTATCCTTTATTCTCTTTATTTGTTCATCACCTCAGAACAAAAAATATCTACCAACTAATGTCTAATAATTTTAGTGAAACACAGGCCTGAGCACCCATATATAATTTTTTATAAAACTGTAATTGATTCTCTGCCTCTTACTGCATCTACTTGCAGAAATATAATTGCTCCCGATCTGCAAAGTTATCTCTTTCTTTTTTTACCTCTTTTACCTGCATTGAATACATCAGGAAGATCAACTCTGGTAACATGGATCATGCGTATCTGTAACTTTATTGTGGGATTGGCTTAAGTGCACTTTTTGCTGCGATTGCTCTTTTTCTTATCTTCTTCAAAAACAGTACCAATTCCGAAATCAAATCAGTGTCTGATAATTTAAGTGGTGTCCCAATAAAAATTCTTCACGCTGAAGTTCCTGTATCTTTAAGGCTTTTATCATCAGATATTTTTACATCGTCTATTCATACCAATTTCTTATTTGGATCATGCATTTCGCCTGCACCTCCATCATTTACTATTGAGGAACATTCGGAACATGTGCCACTAGTTGCTTTCTTAAAATACGTAAATATCAAGAAAAAAACTCACTGTTGTATGTCGAATGTTGTATATGGCATAGAAATAGCAGAAGTGCTGTTTTATACTAGTCGATCCGAAACTTTTTACTGAGAAACGAATTTCGAAGAACTTTTATTTATGCGGTTTACACCCATCGATATTTTATTTTCTAAGAATGCTCACCATTTCTGGTTATTATGTTCACTCCACTGGTATCGATACTTGTTTTACTTGTTAGAAATCAATTTCTAAAATAGTATTTGTTCATTAAATAATTTAAAAATAATGATAATTGATAATAAAATAAAAATAATTTAAAGATTATATTTTACTATCAATAAAAAAAACATTTTTTGCGAGAAAAAATTTTCCAAAGTAATGAAACTTGTAAAAATGGCGTTGTTACGTTAAAATATTTTTGCAAATTCCTTTAATGTAAGGTTTAATAGGATTTTTAGTTTTGGCCGAAGAGAATCCCGCCTCAAAGTTTTAAAATGGACGAGCAATTCAAGACTTTGCAGGTTGTCGATCTTCTTTGACACTGCGAAAAACTCGTCAATTCAGGGTGTCTGAAAAGATAAGTGGCAACGCAGAATATACAATAATTAATATATAAAATCTACATCTATATCAACTTCGCATTCACTGTAACTAGCGGAATGCAAATTTATATTGAAATCAATATTGCATTTCGGATGAATTTTCTGCTCATATACAATTCGGTACAATTATACGCTGGCGATTTGAAAGTACCGCTTTAATGGAAATTTTCGAAATTTCATCAAATGTCACGTCAGAATTAAGTGAATCATTATTGTGAAACGCTGACATAGGGTACCGTAGCGGAAATTCTCTAAAGTGTTCCTTATTTGGGATTAGAAAATAGATGAGCCGAATTTATTGTTTCAACAACGGAATCAGTCCCATAAACGAATAAGAATGCAAAATCAAAGGCTCGACTATGATGTTTTGGCATTTATCGAAATAACCTGGCATTTTACGGTAATGGTACAGATTTATGAAAGTTTCCATTTTTTGCAAAAAAGTCTTTATTTTAAAAATTTATCAAATATTTTATGAAGGCTTTAAATTAAATCTGAATCTACCTAATATTTTATAAAACTATGAAGAAACCTGATAAATATGAAATATTATGAAAAAGATTTTGCTCTTAACAATATTCTAAAAGATTGTTACCCATAAGGTTTCACATTTTGAGAATCCCTACTTTATAGAGATAAACCAATTAAAAGCGAAATCTGAATAGCTTCCAGAGAAAACCTTTCTATCCTCAGAAGAAAGAATCAAACGTCTTATACGTCTTATTACAATAGTCAGTCTTGTAAGACAATCCGATTACAAATGGTGTGTTAAACTAGGAAAAAAAGAATTTTATTTAGTCACCAGGACTTGCCATTTCGAAAAAATTAATATAATACAATTATATAATTATAAATTAATTTTAACATAAATAATATAATACAATTACAAATAAAAAATCAAACAATAATTTAAAAATTCAAATATTATAAGTTAAAATATTCTCAAAAATATAAATATATATTTAAGAACCATTTTCATGAAAGTTAGATGCTTTAAAATCTGATTTCTGGATTATCACAGTTAATTTTCGAAAGTCGACTTGAAAATTAAAATGTTTTTTTTAGAAATTTTCCGAAAATTTCTGTGGAATTTTAGTTAAGCTAGAAGTAATTCGTTGAAGAAGCATATCGCTCATTGCAATACAACGCATCGGACGATCATATACCACTGATTTCGTTGATTTTCTGAATTCAAATATAACTTTAGACTTATAAAGTTTAATTTTATAAAGTATTAAATTGATACAAAAAATGTCGAACTATTATAATTCATCGAGATTTAGGAAAATAACTCTGGATTTTTGAGAGAAACGAGTCCACTCTTGTGGGGAGAAGAACTCCAACATAGGCGCTGCAAACATCGGCAAAAAATGTTTTTGATAAAGGAGTAAATGAAAGAATGAAAAAAAATTAACATCGCAGTAGAGCTTGACCGATTTTGTTGATGAAAGCTTGAAGAAGCTGAATCGCTTTCATTAGTTTCGAATTTGTCGTCAGAATTTCTGTCAATAGAACTTCGTACCGGCTTTGGGATGATCTCTGCTAATGGGAAAACCTGGAAAAGAAGCCAACCTGATTAATACGCTGAAATGTATAGTAAATAGTGCTTAATAACTTATTCCAATATCACCAATTTACTTCTTATAATATTTTCATTGAAAAAAAGGTTATTTTAGCGCTAAGAATATAATACTTAATTACCTAAAATTTCACATATTAAATGAGATAGAGGAAATTCAGATAGATCATAGTTCAAAGCTCAAAATCCACCATCTCAAAATCACAATATAATTATGCAGGAAGTAGTATTTTGGATTTTCTGAAAAATTAGAACATAGTATAATAAATTACATCCATAGGTGAAGTAGTGCTATTAATGGAAATTCCAAGTTGCGCATTTCTCCAAGATGATGAACCAGCAGCTTGCCATTCTTCTTCTCGACCTGAATTCCTTGATGAACAACTAAGATTGCGATGCAGTTGTAGTTCGATATCTTCTTCATTGTCCGAATCAATCATACTTTTACATCCGGGTGCAGTATGTATTATTGATGCTTGAACAATTTTTTCACCACATTTTGATAACATATTCGTATAGCAAGCAGTTTCCATACTATATTGAATTGCCTAAATAATATAAAATGTTATATGATAGCATGAAGGGAAATCATTTTTTTTAAAGAACTCACTATTAGGCCCGTTGTTCCGTTGACTTACTGGACCAGATGAATTTTACCAGGGATTCACTTGGCTATATAAATCTCCAGCATCAACAAATTTTTGGAAGACAGAATTTCTTTTGCCACGAATTGAACTCCAGCATCAGCAAAATGAGATCAACAACCCACTAAGCCATTCTAATGTTTTTTTTAATAAAAATAAGAAATTTCGGAAAAAAATGCTTAAAGGAATAAATATCAAATATTAATTAAAAATAATGGTTGTGGAAAATAGAAGATAACCTGAATTAGATTTGGAATTCCTCGAATGGATTTCATTATCTCTTCGGTAGTATGTGGATTTAAGGACTCGACTTCAGGCTTACGACGATTCAATCGCCTATTTTGCGCTTTTATTATCAAATATTTTGGTTTATACGTTAGACAAAATGGCCTAATTGCCCACATTAATGTGGAAATACACAGACCAAGAAGGCCTATACCAAGTAATATTACTATTATTTTAAAATAAGTAATGCGTATTACTGCGAGAGCAATACCCGAAAGAAATAGAACCAAACTTATTGCAGAAAATATTATTAGCAATAACAGCATTTCAATTTTCTTAATATTTCGCAATTAAAAAAATCAGAAAATTTTGAAATTTCCCAATTTTCTGGCTCTCCAGTTCATTCTGAAAATTAATAATTCATTTATCGACGCTTTATTTCTTTCTTCCAAGCGCAATTCCGGGAAAAAAACAGCTAAATGCATTGAAAAAAATGACACAAAATTTATTAGCGTTGATTTGTCGTTAAATTTCTTTTAAAGTGTACCAATATAACGTAACAATTTAATATAAATCTTAATGTAAATTTTTTTACTTTAATAACTCGCAGACTCGCGGTTAAGTTGGTTTCGCTGAGTTCAAGAATGAAGGCAAAGGCATTTAAATTAAAGATGTAAATTAAATTTAAATTTATAAGCAATCTCTTGCTAGTGACCCACATTTTTGGTGCAACTTGTAATTTCTTTCTGTGAATCGCCAAATTTCCATTTTTGCGTTGTTTCAGTTACTTGCTTGCACGATAAGAATTCATTCATTTCATTTTCTAATTTGAAAAAGTTGGACTAAAATTTTCACTCATCTTAAAATTCACAGTTTTTTATAAGAATGTCCTTTTTTCTTTTCTTATTTGTTTATATTGGAAGCAATCAGTTTGTTGTCATTCATTGTTAATTTTTGCTCTTTTCAAATTTCAACTATGAAAAAAAACTTTATGAAGCGAAACATAAATGAAAACGAACATGTGGACATTATGGTTTCCAATAGGGGCTTAGTGAATTATTTCAGTTATTAGCGCTGGCTTTGGCATTTTATCCCCCGCAGGGGCAAATCTCTAAAAAATCCACCAGTGACTCATCTACGCTTCTATTTCTATCATCAAATCTTCTTAATAAAAATAAGTCTGATTAAGCCAGTGAAAATAAATTACTGATGAATTAAGTGTTGCTAAAAGCTGTGAAGGCCTTCGTTCACTGCTGGTAAAAGATTGTATTAGATGCTTATGCTAGTTTCATGCAGATGATCCATTGAGCTAGAGCTAGAGCTAGAGATCTGTGTTTGCTTTCAATAAACTTCAGATCACAACTATTACCGTATGCTTAAATATGCTAATCGAGCAACACCAGTTCAACAGGCCATATAATTTGGACTGGTAGGTTAGAACTTGAACTCGAGCATATATTTTAGTAATAATAATATTATATGAATGCACAACTAGACTGCTGTCAATTCTTGTCTGCGAAAACTATAAATAAAATATATTTAAATGAATTATAAATGAAATATATATTTAATGCAATTTAATGATTTCAAATGAAGATTTCCTGATGAAAATCGAGTAACAATTATCGAGTAACAAAAATTAAATTTATTGATAGAAAATTAAAAGGGATTTATTTATTATTAAAAAATTTAAAAATTTAGCATAATTGATAATTATTTTCTAAAGGATCTGAAAGGCGAAACCTCCATACAACACCCAAATTACTTTATGATAGGCCCGTTGCCTTAGTAAACCAAAATCGATATTTTTCAAAACAATTGATTTGAAGCTATTCATGGAAAATTTGGCCTTGCAGAAAAGTTAAAAAAAATAGAGTCGAAACTACCAATTTTACTTATTAATTTCACTTATTTCTTATTAAAAAAAATTTTATACAAAAATTTTAATTAAAATATTCTATGGGCGCTCAAATTACAACGCAGTCCCCGAAGTTCGAGTACGAGAAATGAACGAAATTAAAGCTATTCAAAAAGATAGCCTGGATGGGGTGTCAAGAAACACAGTGGATGTGTACAGTAGTATTATAAAAATGGAAGCCATTAGCGGGAATAAGTTCACATTGTGGCATTATACAATAATAAACTTCAAGTTCCTTCATCCTAAAGAGTTTAAAGAATAGGATCATTAATGTTGGAATTCTACTCCTGGCAGGAATAAATCTTGCAAAAATCCGCATAGTGCTGGCGATTCAGCTGTCGCTTTTTACCGACTTAATTACTTCCTTGGAAAAATTTGCCTGATCCTGACAAACCAACTGAACGAGCATAGCCAGCAGTAATGAACGCTGCCACGAAAAATAAAATTTTTTTGAAAAAATCTTTAAAAATTGATCAAAAGCAGAGGTCATAATTATTGTTAAACTCTTTTCTTAAAAAAATTTCTTTATTAATATACTAAATATTTTACTAAAATATAAAACAAAATATCAATAAAGAAAAATATCATTTTTAGTTTTCACTTAAATTTTCATAAGCTTTAGTCGATGTTCAATCACTTAGTAACTAAGTGGCTAACGCTTACCATTTCTCGTCAGAACAACTTAGATAACGTTACTCAATACAGAAATTCTAAAAACTTGACTTGCAATATTCTATTTAAAAAAAATATTCCGAACAAAACTCTCTCATTATAATATTATAGTAAAGTTGCAATATAAACAAATAATATTAATACAGAAATTTAAAATCGAAATAAAATCGTTTTTATTTCGAATTATTTTGATGGATTGAAATTAAGCGATTATAAAAGAAGAAATATTCAATAAATATTATAGCAACATCAAGCGACAGGAATTTCAGAAAGAAAGAATATGAGAAGATAAAGGCCAAAGTAATTCCAGTGATAATTGAAGCACTTGACACCTAAACTAGAAAAGTGGCTTCAGCAGATTCTACGAACAGCATCAAAGACTTTTATCCGGAAGAGCGCATTATCAGGAATATTGATATTGTGCAGAACCTTCTCTCTCCCGGGCCCCTCGTAGAGAACCCGAGGTTGAGAATGATCATGACCATCCACAGGAGAAAAAAAACTTTTAATCTTAAATACACGATCATGCAGCTGCACCTACATGCACACTTACCCTCATATATGCACACAAATTACACGTATACACGTCTATATATACATATGCATAAAATTTCCAGTGCTTGAATGGCATCAAGTATGGCGTTTTTTGTTTTTGTTTTTTTCTGTTAGTTTTTTCATAAAAAAAATTTGCAAATTTATTTAAGAATCATTAGTTAAAAATCTTATCTAAATCTTACCTTTCTAAATTATCATTAAAAATGGTATTCTCGTAAGTTTAATTAAATTATTATCTAATTTAGCTGATTTTATTACAAATTAATAAACGTCAAGAAGGCGAATTGTCGTTGTTGTGGCATTATTAAAATATCGATGAAAGGCATCGTTAAATGGATAGACGGACGAATGGATAAACGAATGCAGAATGCATGACTGCTTTCTCTTTCTCTGGATTTTTCTTTATTGATCAAAAATGAAATATATGAAGCAAATTAATTCTTAAATTGAAGGCTATTAACAACATCACATCACATTCATGCGTGCATGTTTAGAAATTTTTTCAGAGACTCAAATAATTGAATAATTTAAAAAGGATAAGCTGAGACGCAATGCACAAGTAAATCTTCGTTAAACCAGCCAAAGGAAGGAAATGCTTGGAAAGGGATAAACGAATGGTATGTTTCGGTCGAGGTCAAAACGCCATAATGTTCATTCTTACCTATTGAGTCTGCCATAAAACGTGAAATTGGCGTAGTGTTGTTGACGTACCTTTTCTATTGCCAAGTAATTTATGGTAAGGGAATTTGGCTGATCCATGCTGTTTTGGCCAATGCTCGCCTTTCAGTCCTATTCAGTCCTACGTGTGAAAAGAAAATTAATGAAATAGTACCTTATTCGGATTCAGATTCGGACCAAAAACGCTAATCCTATCGATTCTCTACTTATTTCTATTTCTATTTCCACTGCTTTTGCAGTAGGCTAATAAATCTTCTTAAATAGAGGGTCTATCATCAAAATCCGAATGAGAATAACACTGATTCCACCAAATTAAAGAAAACCCTGAGATTTAGAAAATTTTGAAACTTTAATAAATTATAAGAGAAAAAATTTGGAAAATCTTTTATAATTCTAGCCTTTGTCTATCTTTAAAAGATATAATTATGCAGCGAACAACGCAAAATATGTAAGTAGAACGACATATTTCTTTGAAATAAAAGTGCCCTGAGGCAAATATTAGCTAATATTATCTATGGTTTGCCATACTTTATTAATCACTGCCAAATAAATTCTGCTTATCAAACTGATAAGCCTGGTAGTTTCTCTTAGCGAAGATTCCACAGTAAATTCGGCATTGTTGGCTATTTAAATAGACGAATTAATAAACCGCTTTTATATAAGTAGGACAATGATTCCGAAGATGACTCAAGCTAACTGTATAGGCTTTTTATATGTAATGTGTACAAGAGTTTTACCTAATTTCAGTACAGTTTTGTAAGCAGATGATCTTATCACAAGGAAGATAAGGAAACTGTAACCTCTCTGATGTTCTTATTTACACCGATAATAATTAAGTAGCGACGGTAATGATAAATTGTGCAAATCATATATCAGATCTTGACATAAATTCTCGAAAATTTATAATTTCATCCATCTGACTAAAGAAACCCTAAAATATTATATTGCATAAAAAGACAAGTAAAATTTTACATAAACTACAGAGAGGTGAGTTCGATTGTTTATAATTTCCCCTCAACGTTTTCCGATTCTCTTCACGGTCCTTCGATAAAAGCTCTTTTGCTCTTCTATATATCAGCACTCACTCTTGCAATTTTACAATTTACAAGTCCAGCCATGGCAAAAGCAGCAGTTCCAAAGGTGTTTAGGATGTGGAACAAGACGAGTGAAGCAGAAAGCGATTCAGAAAAGGATAATTAATATTTTCAGCAAATTAAAAGAGAATAAGACGTGCTTTCGTTAAGAGAAGAAGCGAATACTTGAAGCAGAAAATCTAACAGGCTTAAATGGATATTAAAAGGCTTCGACAAAGCAGAAAAAGATTTTGCGTAGCCATACAAATTTTTCAATTACAATCAACCAGAGATTAGGGTCAGATTTTAGTAGCGCGATATGGCGAGATACCGCAGCTGCAGCAAGACAGCACAAAGTGTCGACAGGGCTATATGCTATGAGGGACCTTAAAAGCGCTACTGTATGGCCATAACAATACGATGCTGTTTGATAGGCGTTTAACGAGAGATTAAGAGGATTATGGAGGCAGGTGGAGTCCTTGTAGCGATAGATGAGGCTTTTCAAGTGACTGCAATGAGCTCCATGAAACTGAGGCCGTAAAAGGCTCTTGTCTGTGGGGCTACCTGTATTTCCAATCTTCAAATGATTTCTTAGTCTCATCTAAATCTCAGCCAGCCAAAGCATAACGTCGTGAAAGGAATAAGCAAGGAAAGGAAATCTTGAGTTAATCGGACTTTGGCTAAAAAGTCACCAAACCAGGCTTACTACCCATTCATCGAGCGGTAAGCTTCAATGGGGATCGATCATCTGCCACTTGGGCGAAACCTTTCAGCCCCTTACATACTGAATAAAAGCAGCAATAGACCAACAGCCCACTCTCTATATTACCCATGTATTTGCTTCATTTGCTCCTTCCTTATCTCGTACAGAGAGCGGGCCGTATTTTCTTCACGTTTTTGAGGAATTTTAAATGTCAGTGCGGCCTCGTCGACGTGTGTATTTTAAATTTTTGCCATTCTATTGTTCGTTTTCGTAAAATTTGTTTTTATGATGGATGAGACTGAGACTCAAACGATGTTAGAATAATTGCATATTTCGGCAAAGAGTAACTTTTTCAACTGATTAAAATATTGTTTATTAATATTAAATTTTAAAATATTTAATATTTATAAATATTTTAAAAAAATGTTTGTAAATATTTAATTTTTGTATTTACAATATAAAAATTAGCATTTATAATATTTTTATTTATTAAACAAAATCGAAATCTAATGGTGCTAAATTAAGTTGGATTTGCTAAAGAATTTCAGATTCAAAATATTTTCTCTTTTGTTCAGTGATTGGCGTAATTTTCATTAGATTTTCCTCTTTCCTCATTTGTTAAACTCTTTTTTATCTAAAAGGGGAAAAGAAGGAGGTTTAGCGAAAATTCAGCGAAAAGGACAAATGCAGTAATAAAATAATGCAGCGATTTCTTAGCAAGGAATTTGCTTGAAAACAGTTGCATTATTTAAAATATTTACGTTATTCTTTCTTCAGGAAAAGTTTGTTTTTCTTTTAAAATTCAACGCAAATGTTTTCCTACTAAAATTCAGTTCAGTTCAATTCAGTTCGGTGTCAGAGATTCAGAGATTGTATCTTCTTCGTTTGAAGAGGATACTTATCGGTTAATGCTTTCATCTTCGCGATACTGCACTTACATTTTCTCCATTCATCCATCTCGCAATTCTAGCGCAATTCTAGAGGGTGAGGTTCCACTCCGAAGGGGTAAATTTGCCCAAAAATCCTTCAAGTGGTTCTCTTTGGACGGTGGAAATTCAATTAATTGTCCTACCCAAGAAAAGCGGATTTTCCATTTCCTTCCTTCTTCAAAACTTATAGAACCCATATTTCATTGAACATCTTTACTTGTCAGGTTGCCTTCACTGGCAAGGTTGAAGCATCTCCAAGCCGTTCAACCTGCAGTTATACTTGCGGTGCCATTCTTTTCCAATGTCTGAGCCCACATATCGCTTTTACCGCCTATACGTTTGGAATCTCTTCCGACTGTATCAATTTCTTTCATCTTATAAAAAATTGTCTTTCATCTTTAATTTTCTAATTTTCTTTTTCCGCTCCTAATATTATATCAATAAAATAAAAGTTGTGGATCAGATAGCCCCAAAGTAACTAAAAAGCAGATTTTTTTTAAAGAGTCCTCACCATTAGTGGTTAAATTTGCTCCACTGGCTTGTCACATTGGACAATATGTCAGGGAGTCCCTTAGCGATAGAAATACAGGTGAGTCACCAGCATCACAATGAAAAAGCAAGAAGAGAAATACAATAAATTTTAGAAATTGCTAAGAATTTGTGAAGTATCATCATGAATGCAGATTTATCGATATCGGTTGTAAGTGCTACCGCAACACAAAGGTCGAAGGTATCTCTTCTTTCTATTTATTGCAAAATTATTTATTATTTTTATTTAAGTTCACTTTTATGAGGGGTTGATAGGTCAAACGTTAAACGTTAAAAAGTATTCTTGTTAGCGTGAATCTTAGGAAAAATAGCTTATTTTTTCTAATAAAGGCTGAATTTTTACTTCAGATTGATATGCTTTCTCGGAAAGATTTAATTTATTTTGTAAAAAAGCAGTTGGACAATATAAAATTATTGAAGGAAGAAAATGCTAAATTAAAAGAACAAAGTCGAATTGTCGAGGTTTTTCCTTTTTTTAAACTACTTTTTGCTAATAAGTGATCTTATTGCATTATTATTTTTATTATCGAAATTCTTTTGTTTCTTCTAATAGATCGTATTATTTCTGGTTTGGCTGGTTGGATTGTAGGATAAGACAGATAAGGCTAAGATTCTTCCAGTCCTTTCTCCTTCAATGTATATCACTAGACTACTTGTACCTTCGAATTCTGTTCTGGTTATATCAGCCGTGATTCTGGGCCTGTACCATCCATTTTGTAGTGATACTACTTTCGTTTGGCAGAAGAAAGCGTTCTCAGCTGCTGCTATATGGAGTGGAATTTTATCTTTGACCTCTTCTTCTCTGATATAAGATTGGGTTTAAATTTAGAGTGATACTACTTGAATCGGTTACGAGTTTATGAAAAATAATATTTTATCAAGAAGAAAAAATATTTTGTATATTAATTTTGCTGCCAATTTTAAATATAGTTTTCTTGGCCTGATCTATTGTTTTTGTTAACTGTCAACGAACGTTGAATGTATGAATATACGATACTATAGCAAATTGATAAGTCTATCTTCTCTGGAACTGCGTCGTTTTATGGGTCTTATTACTCCCAACCTTTCATAAGCCTTTTGATGTTCCAGATCGCTATGCCTATGATTTCGCAGAGCCGATTCACATTTATTCGAATTCGTTAGCGGACGAATTTAAAAGCAGTTTCTTTGGTTCAAGAACTTAATTGTTATCTTCATCCTAGGATTAATTCGCTTGCATTCGTAATTCGTTGCATTCGTTATTACTTTTATTTATTCGTTTTACCTCATTGTATATTTAATCCAAGTCAACCAAGAGTTGCCCTTTTGCCATGCATTCAGCCGAAGAGAAACGTTCGAAATAAAAATCTTCCTGAAGGTATTTACTAGGTTAATTTCTCGTTACTTATTACAATTCGTTTTATCAACAAATCGTTTCTTGGTGTTTTCACTATGGTGGATGATACATGGTAGTTTAATGTCAAAATATTCCTTAATTTGGAAAAACTAATTCTCGAGGGCTCTATGCATATCGTTTCATTTGATCATTTTTTAGCATTTTACGTGTTTCAAGTTTTGCTTTTTTTGAAGAGAAAATGAAATAGTTTTCGCGTATCGTCTGCCAAGTCGAGCAACTTTTCCACATTACCTAAGTGCTGCTTTTGTGTCGATTTCAACCGTCCGATAATTAGTTAGGATGTTCTGATATGCGGGTTTTAGCAGTTTTTTCGGCTCGCCACTTTGTTGTTTTTTAATACCATAACCTCAGAATTATCGCGAAAAAATCCGGAAATCAAAGAATTAAAAGTGAAAAACACGATCATGGTAACCTAAGGATAGACACATTTTTCCTTACGACCTACTTGTATATAGTCATAAAATTAGGTCATATAATATAGAGTAATACTATTGTTTTTTTGCAAGGTTTTTTTAAAATATAAAGTAAATATTCGGTAAAGTAATTTTTTTTTATAGACAACTTGTTTCAATAATTTTTAAAACCCTTCAGGGAAATGAAAGCGGCAATACAGCTGAGGAAGAGCAATTACAAAATGATAATTTCATCAAAGTTATTTTTAAAGATATTAAATAAATATGTAATACAATATAATATAATAATATAATATTTCATTTATTTATAATGTCATAATTTTATAATATTTTTTATAATAATAATATATATAATATTATATTATATTATATGATATAATATTATATTATATATTATATTATATATTATAATATTAATTATAATATATAATAATTAATATTAATAATTAATATTAAAATAATTAATATTAATTATATTATATATTGTATTATATAATTATAATTATTTAGGCGTTTACAATGGAATCGTTAAAAGATGATTCGAACTCTAATATAGATTGCCAGAATGAGATAAAAGCTCTTAAGGAAATTTTTAAGGAACAAACAGAGAAATTGGTTCAGGTAGTAAATTGGTTCATTATTATTATGTATTTTTTAAGGTGCCTCTTTTCCTTTTCGCTTTCCTTTTTTTCTTGAAATAGTTCAAATAATTTTTTTTCTTTTGTTTCATTTTGCTTCATTTCGTTTCATTTACTTTTTGAAAAGTGAATGGGCAATCAATTACATATTTCGTATGAAAAGATCAAAATTGATCCGCCAAAGCTGATAAGTTCTCTTGGATTTTTATTTTCCATCTGCGGATGTTATTGATAATGGTTGATTTAGCAGATAAAAGATAAATACAAAATCCGATTTTCACACTTTTCTGAATATTTTTTTATTTTTTTATAGACTGAAGCTGTTAATGAACGTTTAAGGAACGAATTACAAACATTGCAGAGTACTCTTGATGATGCGAATCATCAGCTGGCTGCTTTCAAAGAAGTTCGCTTTATATTTTAAGAGAATGTAAAGATCTTATTTTCAAAATAATATAAATTTTTCTGAAAATTTCAAATATATTTTATAAATTAATGGTTCAAGAGTTCTTGTTCAGAGAAGAAATGTAGAAAACGTTTTTACGATGGAAATGGCTGATTATGAAAAAACTGTAGAGAAATTGCAAAAAGAACTGAAATTTATCAAATCTGATTGCGAAATGAAACAAAATGAGTTGGATGAAATAAAAAAAAAAGCTGAAGATCTTCGTGCCGAAAAATCAAGACTGTATTCGAATATTACGAAAATGAAAACTGCTTTAGTGAAGCTTAAATCTGAATTGATCGGTACTATTCTGGATATTTATTTTTTGTATTGTTAACTGTTAACTCATATGATATTTTATTGAGACATTCAAACTTTATGATTTTAGAAAAAAAGAAGTTGCTAGAAAATGCAGAAAATGAAAACTCGGATTTGAAAGCAGAAATGGCGTCACATTTTAAAGAAAAAAATCTGGAAAAAATGAAGTTGAATTCTGTTATAACGTTGAATGAAGAAAAGATACAACAGCTCGAATCGAACATATCTTCTTTAAATCGACAGTTAATTTCTCTTCGATCCCAAAGAGAATCTTTACAACGCCAATACGATGATCTGGCTTATGAATATAATACTTTCAAGGTTTATTAATCTGCTATTATAAAATTCGGGAAAAATTCTTTAAAGTTAGTTTTTTTTCCCCCTTTATTTTATTTACTAAGTGGTTTTATTTAGACTCGCGCCTTGTACGTGTTGGAACGAAAGAAAAACAATGGTTTAGATGAAAGCGATGGTAAATTTGAAATGCTTGAGGGCACATTAGACCAACAACAAAAAACCATCGAAAACATGAAGTTTTATATTTTTATTTTCAAGTTTTATTTCATTTTTTAAATAATGATTATTTTTATATTTAAATTTTATGTTTCGAAGAATTATTTTAAGTTTTTTTAAAAATTATTTGCAATAATGCAAATCAACTAAACTATAAGAATGATTAACGTATTTATAGAAATTCCAATCGTTTGTTACAAGATGAACTTTTTTCTCTTCGAGAACAAAACTTGGCCCTCACAGAAGAACTGCGCAAAGTTCAAGAACAATTAACGACAATCGGCGAATCTTACCAGAAAAAGTTAATTTTCTTTTAATAAAAATTCTCCATTAGAAATGCAAATTCGTTTTTCCTTCTATTTATTTATGTCCTTCAGATTATCTATAAAACGCGACGAATTCGAATCACTGGTAGAATCGGAAGCCAGACTCAAGAGAGAATATAAAACGCAGATGGAAGCGATTTCGCTTTCACATTTAAGGGAAAAAGAATGTTTAATTGCTGAAGCAGAGCAAGAGCAACGACGTCTTGAAAAAGAATTGGAAAATGTGCGAAAAATTCTCGACGAATCGCAGAAAAAGAACGATTTTGAACGATGTAGATCACCGTCCGATTCCCAGTCTTTAAATCTTCAGACCGTAGAGGAAAAAATGCAGAACGCCAAGTCAGAGCACTTTTTATAATTTCGACATTAATTTGAGCAAATCTTCAATTATCTTTCAGCAGAACATGCCACCTTGAACCGGAAGGCATTAGTGTAATGAATATTAATACTGAGAATTTGGTGGATAGACCTCTCCAGTATGTTTTGTTTGAAGATGATGAGGGGATGGATTTTGGCGAAGAAGCAGCCAATTGCAGTAACATTAATTTGTTGAGACAGGTTTGACGCATTATTAATTGAAGCTAAATAAAATCATATAACCATAAAATCATATAAGTTATTTTTAAATTGATCGCTATTATTTTTTACAATTTAGGTGAAACATATGCGAGAATTATTGAATGAGTCAGAAGCAACAAATATTCATCTTCATGAGCAATTGAAATTGTTGAAAAATGAAATACGCAGAATGCAACGAAATGAAGAGCGTGCTGACCATCTGGCTAATAATGAATATCTTAAGAATATTATTCTTAAAGTAAGTTCATTACTACATTTTTTCCTAAAATCTTTAACTTCACATTGAAATTTGTAGAAAAACAATGAAATTATGAATCGAATTGAGTCAAATTGAACAGAATTGAACATAGGAATTATAAGAAGTAATTAATTACAGTTTGTTGCTCCAGAGAAAGTGAATTCAGAACGTACTCAGTTGATACCTGTGTTGACAACTATGTTGAAATTAAATGCTGATGAGATGCAGTTACTTCAGAATGTAGCTGAAGGTTTTGAAGATTTCCTTTATTAAATTAATTTAATCTGAAAAAAATTATGAATGATCAAATTTAGATGATAACTGCTCGTCGAAAGACAAAAGTAATTGGAGCGACTATTTGAATGTTTGGTCTCATTTGTGAAAGTCGTTATTCTTTATTCTCTTTATTACTTGTTATTATACTCTTATATATACTATACTCTTATCTATACTCTTTATTACTTGTTATTTTTGTTTATTTTCATTGTTTTATTAGAATTTTCATTAATTTATTTTCTGTGGATTGATAGGGGATTGTGATATTTTCTAGGACAACTTTTCTCTCATTCTGAGCTATACTTTTTATAAATTTTCATATTTTAATAAATAATGTATTGCTTGTATAGTAAAATTAATTTTAATATGCAATGCCATTATTTCGTAATATATAATTATATGCAATGCCATTATTTCGTAATATATAATTGAAAATATTGAATTCATCTAAATGGAATTGGAATTGAAGGAAATTACAAAAAAAATGAAAATTAATAATATATTATAATATTATATTCTTTTTTTTTTAAAAAAGCTCACACCATTATTGGTTAGGCTGGTTCAAAAAGCGACAAGGCAAAACGCTTCCAAACGGCAAGATCTGATGCCATAGTCGACAGTTATAGTAGCCATTCCTTTTTCCATCGTCTAAGTCCATATATTGCTGGTCCACCTTAACGTTCAAAATCTTTCCTGACCGTATCAGTCCAGGTATTGATTGGCCCACCTCGCTTTTGATGCCATCCATCACATGATTTAGATGTAACGAAATATGGGACAACTCTTGTGGTGGACGACGGAGAACATGCCTTAACTACCAAAGGTGACGCTCCATGATTATTAATACAGGTGGTGTTTGCACGAAGCTGGGTGCGATCATGTGATATTTTACCCGCTCGACCCGTAAAATATACCTTAGACAAGGGTGGTCAAACGTAGATAGTTTCTTAATATTCTCCATTCTCACTGGCCATGTCTCAGAACCAGATAGCAAGATCGAATGAATCACGGTTATATAGATGCAGACTTTTGTTTTAATGGTAATTTCACGACGGCTGCATAATGCCGTGATCCGGGCTGTATCGTCTTTTGCCTGGCTATTTGGTATTAGAGTGGACAATTCTAGCCGGCAATGAATTTATAAAAAAAGGCATTTTATCAGCTTTTTGTGCATAAGGCGAAAGGTCTTTCGTTTTATTTACATTGATTTTGAGTCCAGTTCTCGCTGCAGTTGTTGACATATTGTTTAACATTATTTGCATTTCCTCATAACTGTCAGAAAAAAGGACTACATCATTAGCGTATTCTAGATGCTATGTTATGGACTGATTTATGCAACTCTTGAGTGCCGACAAGCCAGTATTCATTTGCTTTTCCAGGGAAAACATTAATATTAATACCACTGAGATGGTTCAACAATTCGATTTGCGCTCATTGCCCTCCAATTTTTTAGTTTGAGATAGTTTAAGGATCTTGGGGGATGCGAGTTATTAGTTTTATGCGGAGCTTGGCTGTAACCATAACATGGTCAGATCCATAAAGATTGTCCGTTTCAGCGTTGCGAATAGGAACTACTTTCTAGTACGGAACTCTTCTAATGGTGACTGACTAAGATATAATCAATCTGGTTGAAATATTGGTTATTCCGAGAGTTCCACGTGACTAGATACTTTCTACGATGCCTGAAGCAAGCATTAGTAATAAAAAGATCATGCTCATCGACACAACGAAGTATTCTCCATTGGTCCACCGATCTCCGATGTCATATTTGCCAATTGCAGGGGTTATCGCAGCGGCATGTGTTATGCGTGTATTCCAGCGACTATGATCATGTCAGGTTTTGGTAGAGACTTTGTTAATAGTTGAAGTTCCCCATTATATTCATTATTGATGATTTCTAAAATATTATTTGTATATATTATTATATATTATTTGAATTTAAGCTATAAATTTAAAAAGAGAAAAGTGAAATTTCCAGTTGCAAAGTTTTGTCATATCAACTGCTCATGAAATTACTTTAAATTGGTTCGAGTCAAGCAAGTATGTTTTAAATTTTAAAAAAAATGAATTTTTTCAAAAGTTTGGGTTCTCTTACTTCTCTCATCTACCTTATTTTTATTAATCATTAATCGCTAACGAATAACAAATTTTCATTGAAAAAGTGAATGCTAAGTAGAGTGAGTGGAAGGAAAAGTGGTTGAAAATGGTTGAATGGTTCTCATTTCGATTAAAAAAATGATCATTTTTTAATGCTATTAATTCAATTTTTCTCTTTATTTTCTCTTTATTTTCTCTTTTCTCTTTATTCTCTTTTTCTCTTTTTTTATTTATTTTATTTTATTTAAGAACTAACTTTCAGTCAATCATTTTTTCTACTTTGCAACATTTTTTCTGAGAAAATGTAATGAATTCCACAATTTATTTCTGTTTATTAGAATGGCACATTTTTGAATGAAAGTTTAAAAAACTTAAACATTCTAAAAAATTATAAAACTTTATTTTTACAATTAAAAAGAGCTGTTGAAAGGCTTGAAAATGAATGATCATTAAATTATTTCCACATTTTTATATTTTTTTGTAATAGCGATTTGATAGCACATTGTTCCATTGCAGTTTCTGCAAGTAAATTTCTTAATATAATTAGGTTTAGAGCGAATTTATTCAAAATGGTTCGTATAATTGTTGGAGGTTTCTGTTTCTTTAATATAACTAGCTATTTGACCACTAATGGAAGGATTTCGCCTAAATAAAGGCAAGGAAGGCAATAAGGGATATCGCAACGAGAAGTGGAATTATTTAAAATTGATAAAGTTATTTATAGATTAATTTGTTTAAAGGATAATCATAATCGATGACTTAAAAATATCAATTAGTAATTGAATTAAAGGTAAAGAATTTTTGCCACTTCTTTGTTAAATGCTTTCAGTGGTTAGACGAGTTCCGCTGGCGCATTGGGCGATTTTTGGCAGAAAGTCATTGGGCGGCAGAAATACAGGTGAGTGGTGGGTGGCTAGGATTTTTTACTCGTGTCGCGAATGGAGCCTAGCAGTAGCATCAGCGCTTCGAAATTTGTCGATGATATTGGATGAATTTATTCATACGACTTTTTTTTAGGATACAACAACGACTCAGTGGATAAATAATAATTCATACCTAATTTCATAAACTCTTTTTTATTTATTAAAACAATAAACAAAGCAGGTAATTATACTTACCATGATGAGATAATCACCTTGACGTGAATATTCATAAGTTTCGACATCACTTTTATCTGCAACTTTAATATGCTTTTCGGTGAGAACTTTACCTCTTTTCGGATCACTGATTATATTAAAGGTTATCTAAAAATATAATATATAAATATATAAATTATATAAATTTATATAAATTATATAAATTTTTAAGTAGTAAATTTTATCGATGAACGTCATGAATGAAATTTTACGAAATTTTATATTAAGAATTCTTACAAGGTGTTGCGTACTATCCAATACTTCATTTTGAAATTGTTCACCGAGGGCCCAATTTTTGTGATGCGAGTTTTTTATGGAAGTTAAAGTATCCAAATTATATCTTCCACTGGTTGCGCTCTTGGAAAATGTTTTCGTAACAGTAACTGATTTAATAAGTTCTCGCATAGACGAGTTATAACCTTAAATTATCCATTTTTATCGACAAAGTGGTTAAATAGTTCGACAATCGACGATTCTTTAGGTTCAATAATTTCTTAGAATTATAAATGCAAAAAATCGAAAGAAATTGTTTTCCATTGTAATAAAATATTTTTTGTCAGAACTTTTCCATTACTGGAATAAAAAAGAAAATTTGAAAATTCCAAACCTCGAGCTTGCAAATATTCGTCGAAATTTTCGTCTTTCGTCTTGTCAAGTTCGAATTTTCCAATAAATTCCGATGGTAAAGTTTTGAGTGCTTTTGTCAAATGAAAAAAAGTTGAAATAATAATTAAGGATTTGAAGACGTTGAAACGCATTCTTGATAACCTTGATAATCTTAACAGTGAAAAATTCAGAAATATATATTTTATTGTGTGTATATTCTACATAACATGATATTTAAATTTATAATATTGAAATGTATTAAACAGTATAACTGTGCTACCAGTGCTATTGATAGTGTTTGTAAGTGGCCGGGGTGCAGTGGCCGGTTTGCTATTAGTGTTAGTAACGGCAGTGGACGTTAGACGGAAGTAACTGGGCAATTGAAGATTATTTGTTACTACGCTGTGAAAGAAGATAAATCAGCGAACGCTGGCTGAAAGTCAACTATAAATACGAATGTGAATGAAAATAAGCACTCGGGAAAAGGTGGAGAATTTTATTTTCGCATTTTTTAAATTTCATTTTTATCGCGAAAAGAATCGATCATCTTTGTTCTTTGAATCTTCGAGATTAGATTTTTTGAGTATTTTGAGAATTTGCGGGAAACGAGTAATTTAAATATGAAAAAAAGACTGAAAACTTAAAAAGTTTGTAAATATAAATAGAAAAAATGCTAAATAAATTAAAAAATTTGAGAAAAGTTATAAAATGTAACAAAAACTTGAATACCTTCAAGAGAAATAAAAATAATAAAAGACAAGGAGAGATGGATTTGAGATGAAAGAATGAAAACAGAATTGATAAGTTACAATATTCCATTCGAGATAATTTGATTCTAGAATATTTTACATCAAAAAATTGTCTAAACTTAACTTCTTTATTCTTGTCTGACTTCATTCCTACCACTTTTTTGAATTGCTTCCCATCGTTCCAGTTATGAGCATTGGTAATTTTTTTCAACATTCCAAATGGCAATAAATTTCCCCTAAATAATTTCCACATTTTTTAGCGAATGATCGTTGAAAAATTAGTTATAAATGTAATTAATATGTGCTTTTGCTTTTAATAGTACTGCAATAGTACTATAATAAGATTATAGCAGCATGCAATCAATTGTATTTATAAGATATTGAGTACTGAGAAAACTGCTTCAAACTTGGGTAAATAGTGTGCCCACAACCATTTTATATGAGTGTAAATATGACAATATAATATAAAATATAGCTTGCATAGAGGCATTAAATTTCATTAAATCCATCATTAACAAGACTACCATTGATTGGCCTATTTGGAAGTTAATTAAGTGATTAGTTAATTAACTATTTTTTATGATGTGCGGCAAATATAGAGTTCTTCCCTCGACAGTTTATATTGCTAACAAATCTTGCTTGCGTGATCTCTCAAACTTTCCATCTTCTTCTTTGACTTCTACCTTCCCAGAAAAATAAAATACTACAAAAAAATGAAAAACCGTCCCGAAATTTTAACCTAGTTAAAATTTTTACTTAGTTAGAATAATGAGAAAAAAAATTTGAGCTATTTCTTGGCAAAATATTAAAATATTGGTAAGGCCTCATTTAGGACTCATTCTAGCACTTAGTGTCACATTGTTTTTCCAGAATAGCAACATCTGTGGGGCATCGACAGTTCTTATACGGTTTCAAAACCAATTCTTTAGTTAATTACAAGACAAAAATTAAATAGCTTAGAGCCTTTGAAAATTAGACAAATTAAAAAAGATTTGATATATTTCTTGTGTCAAAGGTTAAAAGTGAACTACTACTGCAAAAATTTCGTTTTAAAAAATAATGCAAAAAAAAGCAATGGATTGGAACTGCTTAAACCCATATTATTTATTCTGTGTCCTCAATTTCTTCGTTCACACCCATCCATTACTGCAATAATCTGTCGGGTGATGATTTCTTTATGTTTTCGCCTATGAATTTTTTCAAAAATAAAAGAACAAAATAAGTTACATTTAGAATATCGTTTAGACTAATATCATCAAAATTTTCCTCCATAGGCCCCATAGAAAATGCTATGAAAATAAATACACTCTCAGTGCACCTCCAAATTTGAAATTTGAAAAAATATTTATAAAAATTTTTCATTAAGATTTTTGAATGAGTTAAGGAAACAAATAAAATATTCATTAAAAATGTATTCAAAATAAAATAAGAATTTATATGAAAGAATTCGAATTCCCTATACATCCTTAAAGAATCGCCATGCAATTCAAATGAGCCAGTTTGTCCCACAAATAATTTAGATTGATCTCTTACAGCATCATTTATTCAAATTCTTTATTTATTTTACTTCGGTCTTAAATCTTCTGCTTCTTGATTTACTTCAATTTCCTTTTATACCTGTTAGTGCTTTTTTGAATAAAAAACACATTTTCTTGCTTAAAAAAGAATTTAATAAAAAATTTGCGAAAAGGATATCCGAAAGATATGTCAATTAGCAATCAACTTTATCAATAGAAGTTCCGTGATTTCAAGGTTGCATGCTCGTATTATTTATTAAGTTAATATTGCTTTAAGAACAGCATTTCTGATTGTAAACATAATTTTGATCGTTATCAATGGTTCAATTTGCTTTTTACGCGCTTAAGTCTGATAATGTTAGTTAAATTATTCAAAAGACTTTGCAAGATGATTATTAATTTAAGATTTATTTAGAAAACAACTAAGCAGAGCTAGATCCTTAAGCTATCTCAAACTAAAAAATTGGGGGGCAGTGAGCGCGGTGAGCATTTCAAACTGAATTATTGAAGCATCTCAGTGACACAAATATCAATGATTTTTCTGGAACGGCAAACGGCAAATGAATGCTGGTCGAAACTAAAGGAATGCCCTCCGAAAGTCAGCCGCTTCCACGCTAAGGCATACTAGTAGGAGGTGTGCTAGTTGGGTATCGGAAGCAACTATCCAACTATCTGAAAAAGCTGCCAAAGCACGAATTTCAGGTGATCCTAATGCTTCGAAAATTTGCAATGAAAAAGCAGCATAGCGAGACAGAAATCATTATTGGAGTGACATGGCCTCAAGAATGGAGGCGGCGGCTCGATTAGGCGATAATAGGAAGCTATTCCGCCTTTTTCATATAGCAACTATAATAAGGGGAACGATCAGTGAAATGGTAAGGGATAGCAATGGCGTGCCAGTCAAGAATATTAAGGACCCCTCATAAAATGGGAAGAATTCTTTGGGGCCAGCCCCTAATATAACAGATACGTTCGCTGAATCATATGCTTGCAACTGCGAGAACTCCCGACAGAAGAAGAAATAATATCTGTCATCCATAAGCTTAATGCCAATAGGGTCCGTGAGAAGATGATCTTCGGGTTAAGTTCTTCAAATGTTGTCTATCGTCCTTCATAACGCGCCTTCAACAATGTACTATCTGAACAAAGCAATTCAACTCCCAATTCTCAAGAAAGGTGATAGGACATAGTGGGACAATTATCGAGGAATTAGCTTACTAGACGTCTCAGCGAAAATTTTTGCTTCCCTTTTGCTCAACAGACTATGGAAATATGAGACAGCAGGATGAGCCTTAATCAAACTGGATTTAGACCGGAGTGCGGTTGTGCTGACCAGATATTCACATTAAGAATGGCGTTGGAACATCGCTTCAGATATTTGCCACATGTTTCATCGACTTTGCGGCTGCCTTTGATTCAGTTGATAGAAAGGCTGTGGAGGGTGATGGAATGCGACGGTGTTCCAGAGAATTCGGCTCATAAAGGCATTTTATGAGCATACGTTGGCGCAAGTCTCTGTATATGGGGAACTGACTCCTTCGAAATAAGAACTGGTGTCCGTCAAGGATGTGTCCTTTCCCCTACAATATTCAACTATGCGATAAGCTGTGTAATGGGCATCGCTTGTCGGCATTCAAGAGTTGCATAAATCAGTCCATAACATAGCATCTAGAATACGCTAATGATGTAGTCCTTTTTTCTGACAGTTATGAGGAAATGCAAATAATGTTAAACAATATGTCAACAACTGCAGCGAGAACTGGACTCAAAATCAATGTAAATAAAACGAAAGTCCTTTCGCCTTATGCACAAAAAGCTGATAAAATGCCTTTTTTTATAAATTCATTGCCGGTTCGAATTGTCCACTCTAATACCAAATAGCCAGGCAAAAGACGATACAGCCCGGACCACGGCATTATGCAGCCGTCGTGAAATTACCATTAAAACAAAAGTCTGCATCTATATAACCGTGATTCATTCGATCTTGCTATCTGGTTCTGAGACATGGCCAGTGAGAATGGAGAATATTAAGAAACTATTTACGTTTGACCACTCTTATCTAAGGTATATTTTACGGGTCTTTCGAGCGGATAAAATATCACATGATCGCACCCAGCTTCGTGCAAACACCACCTGTATTAATAATCATAGAGCGTCACCTTTGGTAGTTAAGGCACGTTCTCCGTCGTCCACCACAAGAGTCGTCCCATATTTCGTTACATCTAAATCATGTGATGGATGGCATCAAAAGCGAGGTGGGCCAATCAATACCTGGACTGATACGGTCAGGAAAGATTTTGAACGTTAAGGTGGATCACCAATATATGGACTTAGACGATAGTAAAAGGAATGGTTACTATTACTGCCGACTATGGCATCAGACCTTGCCGTTTGGAAGCGTTTTGCCTTGTAACTTTTGGAACCAGTCTAACCAGTAATGGTGAGAGCTGTTAGAAGAAGAAGAAGAGCTAAAATGCTACATACTTTTTAAAAAAAGGATGCAAAAAATATTAAAAAAATATGAAGATATTGAAAATAAAGAGAGCCGTCAGATCAGCGCTCTTACCAACTGCTAACAACAATAGGATGAGAATAATATAAAACACCGAGAAAAATCGTAATAATTCAAGTTCAATTCAAGGAATAAAGTTGCAAATTTACATGTCACAAATAGCTATAAAACTTAAATATTTTAAAACCAAAGATAAAAACGATCTCGAAAAATAAATTGTTCAGATAACATAATATTTTCCAGAAGAATTTGTATGCTAATATATTAACCTTCCAAATATGTTTGCGCAGCTTCAATTCGTTGTCTCTGGCAATATTTACAATCAGTAGAAGTCGTAGTATATATTGCAGTGTTGCTATTAGTACAAGCAAATT